GTCTGGGTCTCTGCTGAGGCTGCTGCCCCCGAGACCTGACCCTGGATAAGAGGAGGAAGATGGATGGATACCCCGAGACGTTTGCTATGACTTGACTTTTTATAAATAAACTGAATTATATTGAAATAATTCTCTACCCTGCTTTAACCAGTAACCTCCTACCTTACACTTAACCCCTAACCKTAACTTCTAATTTTTAACCCCTAATGCCATCTGCTTCTGTAAAGATGGATAACACATTTCTGACTGAGAGTGTCCTCAGTCTGCAGTTAATAATGGTAAAAAACTGTCAAAAAGGTACTGACAACTGAAGGTTACCTGTGTCCCAAGTACTGACAGATAAAGTCAGACAGGTAAGAGTTCCAAGTGTCAGCACACACTGGGAGCAGAAAGGAGATGACCTGAAAATGAAGGCGACTGGAACCATTTACCTGTAACACAACTGAAGCACACACATACACAGGTGGTGTTCATATTACTGTGAAGTCACCTGAGTGTCTCAGATGTRTACCAGATAGGGTTCAGTTCATTTGCATCTTTGCCAAATAATACCCCTACTTTATACCCAGCAGGTTAAGCTTTGTACCAAATTGTATTTAAGTTCTAGATTATTATGACCCCCGCACTTGAAGCGTGAGAGTCATATTGTTTTTGTACTGTTTTATTTATTTATTTATTTTTGTTTTTTCAGTCATTTTTGCCAACCGTAACACAAAAACGGCTGCACCGTGGTCAACATGAAATTTGTCAGGGCTGTAGATGAGTCTGACCTACACTGCACCAGCCAACGGTTTTACTATACACCCCATATTTGAGGAGGGGGCTCCTTTCAAAGAGGGRGTGTCAGGACATGAAAAAATGTTTATAACTCAGAAACTGTTCAACATAGAAGCTTCAGATTTCTTTTGTTGTTAAGCTCTGATGAAGCTCTATCCATCAGGCCCACCAATCAGTGCCCCCCACTCTCCCAGACCCCCAATTTATCTGAAAAAGTGGTATCTGGACATACAAAAATGGTTGTTGCTTAAAAACTATTAAACACAGAAGCTTCACATTTTCATTGGTTGTTTAGCTCTGATGAGGGGCTATCCATCAGGTTAACCAGTGGCCCCCCCCCAAAAAAAAGACCCCCACCCAAACTACTACAATTTTGAGATGCACCTAGTAGCATGTCATTTATTAAGAATAAATACTTCTGAGTTCTGGTGCATTTGTGCGTGCGGGGGTCATTATGTTACCGCTATGCGGTATCTAGTTCAGAGCCATACTGAAAGGTTTTTAAAATAAATACATCAGAGCTCCTCAGCCGAAAATGCTAAAATAACATAAAAGTAAATTAGAAAAAGACCGTTTAAATCATCCCTCTTCTTGCCGAATGTCATCAGTCTTAAAAATCTAAATATTGCAGGTTAAATTCTTCTAACAACTTCCACACTTCATAAGCAACACCTACTGTGTACTTTTACTAAGGTCATGTACACAGTATCTACTTTACAAGAAAACCTTTGACCTGTGTGCAGGAAGAAGCTCATGAATGTGTGGCAATGTG